ATAGTGTCATTGTGTCGCCTGCCAATGACGTCATAACCCCTCGATTTCCGGTTTTGTTTTGTAGAAAACATGGAAACACCAAACACGCTTTAATATGTTGTGCATTTTAATAGACGGGTGACGACCGCACAGAGTAGCATTATAACAGAACTTTCAAACGTATCTAGTATGACAAAACAGCGCTGCTTTTTTTTCCCCACGTACGCACGACCGGAAGGAGCGGAAGCGGTCGACTGTGGCATAATAAAAGCTCCGCTGCTTTCGAGCCGTGTGTCACGCTCGTTCAGCGGCCTCATTTCGCTTCGACGGCTTTCAGCCTCACCCTGCTTCTATCTACTACGTTACTAAATCATTAGCTCATCCATGAACATGATTTCTGCCTGAGTCCCATCGGATTGCATCGGCTGTGGTGATGAAGACGACAACTCCCATGATTCCACACTCAGCGTCATCAAACTACGCCTTTGTTTCTTTGTTTATTTTGAATATGCGCCCTCTAGCGGCTAAAAATTACATATTGTGCCTTTAACCAATTAAAAACAAGATACAAGGTTTAAAAGATTATTTTCCATCTCCACCAGTTGAAGCTGTAAGTTTTGGTGTAAAAATATAAAGGATTCACAGGACACAGTTTTAGGTAAGACATTAAAGTTTCACATGTGGCCATAATTTGTGTGATCTGGTGACAGTGTTGGCATGTGAAGAATCATTTCTGGGAAATTGGCTCGATACAGCTGTGATCTGCTATGGAGGTGAGTTTACGCAGATCATTATTGAGCCTGAATATTCAAAAATCACACAATGGCCAAATTCCCTGTGAAAGACTACGCTACCCACAATCCTGAAGCAATTTGGTCAGTGTCAGAGAAGTTGCTCTTGCTATGCATATAGTTTATAATTTCATTTATAACTCTTGGACTGGTTTGTAATTTCAAACTCAGTAAGCAAAATTATTTTGTCCTCTGATTCCCCCTTTTTTTCGGATTGCTCATGTTCACTGAATAGATTTTCTGGCATTTTAAATTGAGAAAAAAACATTAGCCAACTCTTGTAGCTTTCATCAGATCTTCCTGACACTTCAGTCAGCTGATTGAGAGCATGTCAGCCAAGTTATTAAAAGCAATTTGGAATACCAAACAGTAACACATCAGCATTTCCAACAACGAAAACAGAAAAACAATAAGAATGAAAGAAAAGAAAAGAAAAGAAAAGAAACGCCTCATCTTTGTGATGCTTTGAAGCATTAGCGTTCAGCATTTCCAACAACGAAAACAGAAAAACAATAAGAATGAAAGAAAAGAAAAGAAAAGAAACGCCTCATCTTTGTGATGCTTTGAAGCATTAGCGCGCAAAATGAACGTGCAAGATGATTTTGGTGGCATCTATTGGTTGTAAAACGCAATGCAGTGTAATTGATGCTTGCCGGTGTGCTTTCTATGTGTTTTATATTTTAAATACTTTTTTTCCCTTGTATTTCTCTTGATGAGTTAATTAAAAAGCATGCTGTCAGAGTGAGATTGTCCTGTAATGGAAAATGCAATGTATGATCCTGTACTATGAGGTTTTGTCTGTCATAAACTTTTTTTTTTTCCATTTGTAGGTGCTGTTCTTTAGAGTGACTATTAAAGATAAACTTAAGCAACGGGTCTTAATGTTGTAATGACTAAGTGGTTGTTGAGATGTGATCTTTCTTATGTCTTGAACATTAAGTTCAAGTATTATATTCGAGTAACCTCATAGTTCATCATGTTGATGTTGCTAGTGTTTTTACACTTGATATATTAGTGTGCTAAGGAAAGTGTTCAAATACTTGAGGCACATAAAGACATGCATGATCATCCAAGTTTCATTTGATTATTTTTTGCTGGTCTTCCAGATAAGGGAAAAGCTGAAGAGCATGGGGCTGCATAGTGACAGCAAGCTTGTGAAAGAGGGAAGGTTACAAAAAGTGGTAACTGAAATTAGCTTTAATCTCCCTAAATATCAACTTATGTAAAACTTCAAAACACTCACTATAATGAACAATCAAAATATTTCTCTTTTTTTCTCATGCTTGCATTTTATTAAGATCTTTTTATTAGTTGACATAGCACTTTTCATTTTTACAAACTTTTAAAATATATTAGAGACTGCTAAATCTGTTATGTTTACATTCTACAAAATAATAATAAAAGAAACAATTTTTCCTTTCTCTTTGGAGTGTTACAAGCTCTTGGTGCATAAAGAAGATCTGTAAAGTTGCAAAGACTAAAGTCTCAAATCCAAAGAGATATTCTTTATAAAAGTTAAGAGTCAGCCACACCTACCTAAAACGGCTCGTTCTAACACGCCCCCACATACCTACGTCACGATCTGGGAAGATTTGCATAAAGCCGCCCAAATGTGGGCATAGAGGAAAAACAATAATGTACAGTATGTGGAAAATAATGTTTTTTTAACCTTAAACCGCATAAACACATTTCATTACACCAAATACACAAAATAATGTTCTTTTTAGCAACATCATATGACCCCTTTAAGCTTAAGTTGTAACTTACTGCCCCTTTACATCAAAATTAGGCTAAGGGATAACGTAGGCACAGTTGGTGCAACCGGATGTCTTTTTGGCAGATTCTGTGCATTGGATTTAACCATGTTAAAATGTTTTTAAAACGTGTCTGTCATTTTGTGTTTTGCTTCCTCTTCTCTCTTACAGGTCTTTTTGGGGGTTACTCTCTTCTTCCTAAGCAGTTCTATTATGTGCATAATCTAATGAGCTGGTCGCAGGCTCAGAGCTACTGCAAACAGAAATACACAGATCTGGTTTTTGTGTACAGTGAGGAGGATCTAGACAAACTGGAAGCTTCTCGTCCTCTTTTAGCCTATGGTTATGCATGGATAGGGGGGTATGATATGAAATCTGACTATTCTGATTCACAAAACATTACGGAAAGTGACAATACCACGACTCTCAGCACAAACTCGGACTGTCTCGCATTAGACGTTATAAAGAGATTGCAGAATGACATTTTCATTTTACTGCAGCAGAAGTGAGTATCTCTCTGCATTGTTATGTTTAAAAATTAAACCTAAAGATATTTTGTTTTGTTTGAAGTTCTTAAGCATGTTTGTTTGTATTTGTCTGTGTCTTTAGGTGAAGGCAAAAGGGTGGTGTTACGAATGCAGGTGAAGCCTGATGGACAAGTGGACATCAAGGACCCTGTAATTAGGGTGAACATGTTAGCTAAGGTAAAAAAAGATTTCTTCAAAGTTAATGTCTGTGTGCTGTGAAATGCTTCATTTTTTATTGTCATCAATCCATAATATATAAAATATTTAACAATATATTTGTCATAAAGGATTTTGTTATTCCATGTTAGTCCTTTTTTTCCCCTTCAGATCAGTGATGAATTTAACAAACTTGGGCTTGGCAATGCTATCAAAATACAGTGGCTCACAACAAGGCAGGAAAGACAGAGGAAAAACAGTGAAAATAACACTTGCACTTTGGATACTCTGTAGGGTTTTTTTCTTATTTTGAATAAATTTGTATAATATAATTGTAACAGTTTCTTATAATGCTGAGTTATAACATATAATGTGGGCACTTTAGGTTTATTCATATATTGCATAGAAATGGTTTTGTTAGAAAACGCCTCTATAGGCTATATTAAAGGGGTCATATGATGCGATTTCAATTTGTCCTTTCTCTTTGGAGTGTTACAAGCTCTTGGTGCATAAAGAAGATCTGTAAAGTTGCAAAAACTAAAGTCTCAAATCCAAAGAGATATTCTTTATTAAACTTAAGAGTCAACCACGCCTACCTAAAACGGCTCGTTCTAACACGCCCCCACATGTCTACATCACGATGTGGGAAGATTTGCATAACGCCGCCCAAATGTTCACGCAAAGAAAGAAGGCGTAACTTTTATTCTCGCTGTAGTATTGTTGTTGCCGCCGCCACCTGCCACTGATGATTCAAACGCGAGTTTTGGGCAGTGTAGAGTAGCGCTTGTTGTTTGTCATTTCTCCCATCACAAATGCAGACATGGTTTTATGTTGCGCTCCGGTCAGGCAGGGCATCACGGTATGGTAAGGGGCGTAACATTTCCGTCACACGCTTGAGGTATTCGGCCAATCACAACGCACTGGATAGCTGGCCAATCAGAGCACACCTCGCTTTTCAGACCGATGAGCTTTGTAAAAATCGATGCGTTTCAGAAAGGCGGGGCATAGAGGAGAAACAATAATGTACAGTATGTGGAAAATAATGTTTTTTTTTACCTTAAACCGCATAAACACCTTTCATTACACCAAATACACAAAATAATGTTCTTTTTAGCAGCATCATATGACCCCTTTAAATTAAAAGTAGTCAAACCTTTATCTGTATTTGTCTGTTTTTAAAAAATAAAATGTTTTTGGTTCAACTCTTTCGAATTATTTATTTTGATCAACAGCAGCATCGGAAGTAATTTGAACTGTGTATTGATACTTAATAGTTTAAAATTAGTTTTGTAATTTTGCAGCCTTTGTCTTCTTGCTAGGTATGTATGTGCATGTAATGATTTCCTTCTTTGGAAAATAGCTGTGTATTTTAACTGGAGTGGCAAACGAGAGACAGAATTGGATGAAGAATGACCGCAAATGAAGAATGACCCGGGTAATGTGGCAGCCGATCGTTATATTGCAAAATAAAATTAGCAAGGATTTAAGTAGCCAAGTTACGAGTTAATTGAGTTACATGTTTCAGAGACAATCCATATCAGTCAGAAGAGGGCGCCATCACACAGATTTTGCGCACTCACGGCCCTGCAAGAGGTTCAGTTGATCTGTAATATTTACAGATTAACGTGTATAGAGTTGTTATTATAAAACAACTCAAAGGAATATTAATCATTTAAGTTAAATATTAATTAATGATTAATTTTTTTTAAATGAGAAAGAGTAGGCCTATATTTTTCACCGCCTATGTTGTAAATATCTTGTAGTGCCTCATCATTACCACTAGAGCGCAGCTCAGCCCAAGAACCGGTTTCATTCACAAACCTGCAAATAGTTTGTGTGCTGATGTTACGAATATAAAAACATAATGACATACAATATGGATAAACATAATAATGATATGCAATTAAGGTGCATTGAAGACATTATAAAAGAGACTTTTGTGGCTTTTAATGCTTATGCTAGGCTCATCTTGCACTCAGGGACTTCTTTGCCACCAAAGTTAAGTGTTGTGCTGCATGTCCCTGTTTGCCCCTGCTGTCCATCTGGCTTTCTCCACTGACAATCATTTCAAAATATCTATGTATTCAGATCAGTTAAAAGTAGGCTTAAGAGTAGGCTAATATTATAACTGAAAATCAAGATTTACCAGTACAAGATTCTTTTTTCTTTTTTTTCTTTTGTTTGGTCGCCCTTAAAAGCATGAAACTTATGTTTCAGCAGAAAATATGTGAGAAATGCACTTGTGAAATCATTTAATGGGGTTTTTAACAATTGCTGATTGCTCAGTTATTGTTTTCACTTTGAAATCATATAGGCCTATTTGGATAGTCGGGTAAGTTTACATTTGAGAGTTGACCTGTAGTAATTCTACAGTCATAGGTTCTTACTTGAATACTAAACATGAGTGCTAGTAAGGGGTCAAATGCACTGTATATTATCTAGGAAACAGTTACATCTGGAATTGCCAATGACTGCAGTATTAGTGCTCTGTATCAACAATAATATACCTCATGCCAGAAAGCTTTAGGGTGTCATATTGAGTAAATACTATCAATGTATGTTTGTATGTCAATGTATGTTTGTAATAGTTTGTCGTGTGTATAATCTGAAAATTTTAAAACATATCAGCTGTGGGCCTAATTGAAAATATATGTGTCTGTGACGCACATAATACGGCATTCTGACTTTAAAAAAAACAAACCCTGCCCACCATCTGCGTCAAGTCACACTGTGTGTGGTTTCCATGCGTGTTCACAAATGTGGGAATCTGAAGCTCCCACCTCCTCCATGATAGCGCAGTAGATTCAGTTCTACCATGCAGACATCTGATTGATGCTTTCACTTAATTTATTTGTTTGCCCAAGTTTCTTGGACTTTCAGGCTACATTGGGTATTTTTTTATTCTATTAAACCTGAAAATAAACACTGTTTTAGGATTTGCAAAAATGTTAAAACAAATTAAGGTTGTGACGTCAATATCAAATGATTATTCTGTCCACGCCAACTTTGGTGCATGGTGTTATTAAGGCAAAAGGGGGACATAGCAAATGAAAAAAGTTATTTATTTAAGCTTTTCTTAAATTCTGTTTCAAATTTATTTTTTAATCTTTTAAAAATATACATTTTATTAATAAAAGCATTGTCACTAGAAGTCTCAGATTTTGAATCCCATTGTATATCAGAGTTTACAAAAATATAAAATAATGACAGCATATATGCATATTGTCACATGTTCAGTTTGTTTCGTCATAGTTTTCTTTGTGTTTCCTGTTTGGTTCCTGTTTTTCCTTATTTGGTCATGTTCCTGTGCTCATTAGTTCCTTTGCTCATTGTTTAATTATTAGTTTACCTGTATCACCTGTGTCTAGTTAATTACCCTCGTTTGTCTTGTATTTAAGCCCCAGTCTGTTCAGTCTTTGTTTGTGCAGTCACAGTTATACTATGTTGTGTTTACCAATGTCTTTCTGTCTTTTTTTTTGTTATTAAACTGAGAGTTTAGTTTGCACCAGCTGTCTCCTTCGCCTTCCTCCTGACACAACCGTGACATATATTCATGCTGTCATTATTTTTATAATATATATTATTGGACTAATCTGATGTGAGTAAAAAAAAAAGAAATGTGAGGTTATGAGGTCAATGATATATGCATTTCTATGCTTGCACCAGCTGTCTCCTTCGCCTTCCTCCTGACACAACCGTGACATATATTCATGCTGTCATTATTTTTATAGTATATATTATTGGACTAATCTGATGTGAGTAAAAAAAAGAAATGTGAGGTTATGAGGTCAATGATATATGCATTTCTATGCAGATATATAGCAGTAATATTACTGATTTATTTTTTTTTTAATCACAGCATAATTTAATTAAATAATGAATTAAATCATATATATAGGCCTATATATACACACACTACACATGATTTTATATATATATATGTTGGGTTTTTTTGTACCTTCAACAATCTGAATAAAGCACTTGAGACTTGACTGACATGAAAACTACAAACCGTGTAATGATTCAGTGGGCAAACGAAGGCTGCCAGTGCTGTGGGTTTGTGTCAGTAGGAGTGTGGTGCGCGTGATCATGTGTGTGTCTGTGCGCAGGGGAGGTGAGAAGATATGCATTTATAAGTGGGTGAAATTGTGATGCATTTCCGCCAGCTCATCAGGTGTGGGAGGCAGAAACACCTCTCTGCATTTGGACCCTAATGACTTAATATGAGCATGAATTTTCCGAAGGGGAAATCTCTCTTTTGCATCAGCTCAGATCCATTATCCATGAGATCATTCATCACAGGACAGCACTGCATTTATTCTCGACAGTTAGTCATGGACTGTTTTTAAATTCAGGCCCCCGTGAGTTTCAAAGGTGCAATGAAACGGAAGTGGCGACAGATCTTTTCTTCCTTGTTGTGATGTGTATCCAAGTGAAAAGGTTTATTAAAAAATAAAAATGTAGGATGGGGACTTATTGGTTGTTAATTGGATTTTGAGATGTGGGCAAAAGTGGAGGCAGATGAACGTGAGCTTGCAAGGCAAGGTTTAAGAAATAGTTCACTTAAAAATTAAAATTTGCTGAAAATGTACTCACCCTCAGGTCATTCAAGATGTAGATGAGTTTGTTTCTTGATGGGAACAGATTTGAAGAAATTCAGAATTCCGTCACTTGCTCATCAATGGATGCTCTGCAGTGAATGGGTGCCGTCAGAATGAGAGTCCAAACAGCTGATAAAAACATCACAATAATCCACAATCCACACGACTCCAGTCCATCAGTTAATGTCTTGTGAAGTGAAAAGCTGCATGTTTGTAACAAACAAATCCACCATCAAGGCATATTAACTTTAAACCATAATTTTGTGCCAACTTTAATCTTATTTAACATTTGACATATTTTAACAATAGCATTATTAACCTAGGCCTAT